ATTTTGATAAAGGAAAAATTAGTATATCACTGTTGACAATGAAATATCAAATCAAGTTTAAGTCAAAATTTAATGTAATTCTGGCTAGAAAGTGCAGCTTCTCCAAAGATAGTTTAACGTTGAGCCTATGATGGGGGCAGTTTTTCTTATCTTCTTATTCTTCCCTTATGAGCTGCTAATGCACATGTTACATTGGTTTTTGCAATGGTAGTGTACAAGCTGTTGATCATCATCCAGTTTCCATGTAGATTCAATGTGACAGTTTCTAGAGATATATGCAGCTGTAGTAGTTCCTCCTTGTGGTACTAGGTGTTAAACCCCTCCTCCCTGAGATATGAGGGGGGGGTGCCTTTTACCCCTCCCAAGTACATGTAACTTTTGATCACCACTACCAAAGCTCATCAGTGTTTGAATTATGGAAGAGAAATTGCCTCACCTTTAGTATGATCTTTAGCACTTGATTTATCATTTTCCTGGCCTGCAAGACTGTATTGTAACCATGGAACATTTGTTGCTTTTTCAGCCTGGCTACTGGTTATAACAGAACTTGATGATGTTGTGGTGGTTGATTCTGACTTTCCCATAGCACTGGGTGCAGTTGATGTCTGCTTCAGTTGTTTCTCCAGTTTCTCAAGTTGCTGAAGCTGTTCTTGCTGTTTGCGTAAAAACTCCAGCTCCTTCAGAGGATCTAGGTTACCAGGACTTAAACCAAGTGTCCCAGAAGGTGTATTTCTGTTTGGGCAAAGACATTCCTCTAATCAGTTAGGTTTGAGGTCTGTACTATAAATTTAGACTAATTATTTTTTCACTTTGATTTAAGACCCTGGTGCCAAGGCCATAAATCTAAGCAGTGGTACTAGGATCATATTGCAACAACTTCTATAAGAGTGGAAAAAAGAGATCTTCAGTCATGCACATGTATGATTAATTGAGAAGATCTTGATGAAAGTTACCCCACAATTTTAAAGGCCACTCTAAGAGAGTTACAAAATTCTTGAATTTCTTTAAGTAACTTTTGGTTTTGTGGGAAAAATGGTTCAGAACACCATTTCACAAGTTTGCACTTCATTTTCAAAAAAGGCAACATAAAAACATCCACTTTCCCAGATTTTTCTTTGCAAAACATTTTAAAAAAATTGTCTTGAAGGCATAAAAAAAACCATTATCAGGCTTGGACAGATCCTTGTATAAAAAAACCCTGGCAAAATTTTACAAAAAGTCTTGCCTTATACAGTTTCTTCTCACAAAAAACAAACAATCTCCAAACTACAAGTTTTGACCCCTTGAATACCATTGGGTAAATCTCCTTGAAACAGTAGATCTGCTTAAAAAATGCAGAGTGTAGAGCACAACATTACCTCTCTGTTTTATCCCACTTAGATGCTGTTTTTGTAGAAGTTCCACCTACAATTCAATAACAGATTCAATTCAAGATTCATATATTATTGCTGTTTACATACTGTAAACTATGGAAATATGAGATTTTGGTCTGGGCCATTCTTAGGAGTTCGTGAATACTTAGTATGGCAGACTAGTAGAAAAACAGAATAACATTATGATCTTCAAATGCCATTTGAACAAAATTATGCAAATGAAAACAATGCTACAAGCATACATGCTGTGAACAAGGAATCCCCTGTACAAATTTTACATTCTACTGCTTTACCACTCTATGCTGCCAATTCATTTACAAGGAGCTAAAATTGAGGAATCATGGGAGATGCAGTGGTAGAAGGTCTGGGTACAAGATCTGGCCGGGTTATTGTGCTATATCCTTAGGCAAAACAATTTACTCTTAAAGTGCCTATCTCCACCCAAGAGTATAAATGGGTAATAATGTACATGAAAAGAAATTACACACTTCTGATTGGCTGAAGGTAATTGAGTATTTTCAACTGAGTTGATAACATAAATTGGCCACCATAAAGAGTTAAAAAGCTGATGTTTTGAACATTGCTCTTCATCAAAGGTTTGCTCTATCAGAAGACCAAAGCTCGAAACGTCTATCCCAGCTTTTAAACTCTTTATGGTGGCAATTTATGTTATCAACTCAGTTGATAATACTAAATTACCCTCTTATACTCTCCCACAGATGCACCACCACAGTTTCTTTAGAAACTTGCCCCCTTTTCCAGAGTAATAAGTGCTACAAATTGCACTTGCCCTACAGGCTCTTGCAATGTTTTTGTCTTTAAAAAATTTACTTGTGCTCATTAGCACCAAATTTCACTCCAATTCACGTCGTCAGGGAAGTCTGATGAAATACTTTGTGTATGAGTGAGGGGGGGGGGGAATGCAGGCAGGCAGGCAGGGAATAACCTTGTGATGAACTAGCATTCCACCAGGGGGGAGTGGTTATACTCCTAGTTGCCTCATGCTCTAGAAACTGGAATAAGCTCTGGCTGTGGGGACCACTTGGCCTGAGTGCAGACTTTACCCTTTACTTTTAAAACTATGAAATATTTGTCATCAGAAGATAATGTAGGACATTTTGTGAAATATTATATGACAGATTATACCACTTTACAGACCCATTGTCTTTGTTCAGGTAAAAAACAACTGTCCAACTGTCATGATCAAATTTTGCAGGGGCATACTTAACATCTCAAAGCTTACTTACCAAAAGTTACTTTCCCTTTCAGTTGCCTTAACCCTTTCACTCCCTAGATATCGTTTATTTAGAAATTTGCCTTACTGTCTAACATATCATTTTTATGATGCTACTGCCGAGAATTTGGTTTTGGATCAACTACTAAATGCCCTCATTGATAAATTTCTTCATTTTCATCACTTGTCTGATTGATATTGCATTAACATTGTAAGGAGAAATTCTGTCTTGGTCATTCATAGGAGTCAAAGGGTTAAGGCATGGAAATTTTTTTGTTTTTTTTACCTGGGGTAATTTGGCCCACAGTATTTCCTGGAGCAGCAGGCAATTTAGCCTGAAGCCATTTTGGTATCTGAGGTTTTGTCTGGTGAGCCTCTCCTTGGGTACCAACAGGGAAAGGTTTGCTATTACCAAGCCAGTTTGGCACTGGCTTCCCTTGAGAGACAGTTTCAGCTTGATCACTTTTCAAAGACCCTTCCTGTAACCATTTTGGAATCTGTTTCTTTTGAGCCTCCTTGGTTTGGAGAGCTTTCTTTGCTGCATCTTGTTTCACATCCCATTCAGTTTTTTCAAGTTTTTCTTTCAACCATCTGGGCATACCATCATCACCTTGATGTTGTTGCTGATTTGTAGAACTCTGCTGAGATTGTAGCCATTTGGGAACATGTTTACTTTCAGCTGTAGCAGATTTCTGTGACAATCTTGAACTTTGCTCTGATTCACTTGTTCCAGCTGAGGCTTTAGAAAACTGCATCCACTTTGGGAGATGACTGTTCTCTGATGTTAATTCATTTTTATGTTGAATTTTACTGTCATTTTGAGGCCTAATAGGCTGAATGTCCATTAAACCAGGGATTTTTGGCACTGATGAACCTTGATTATAAATCTGAGAACTCTGCCTGTTTCTATTGTTCTGATTTTGTGTCCAGTTCGATGTTTTAGTTTGATCATATTGTGACTGCCATCTTTGTTGCTGCTGTTGTGATTGTTGCTGGTTAAGAAAATTTGGATTTTGTTGCTGGTTATACTGGCTTGGGGTATTTTGTGAAGTATTACCTTGTGGCCATTGAACTTGCACAGGCTGATGCTGATTGTGAACAAATTGTTGTTGCTGATTGAAGGGAGTTTGCTGAGTATACAACTGTTGTTGTTGTTGTTGATTTTGTTGCTGTTGTTGTTGATGCTGTGGCTGTTGATGCTGTGGCTGTTGATGCTGTGGCTGTTGTTGATGCTGTGGTTGTTGTTGATGCTGTGGCTGTTGTTGATGTTGTGGTTGTTGTTGATATTGTTGATATTGCTGCTGCTGTACGACTGTGCCCACTTGAGCTGGAGTAGACACACTTCCTACGGCTGCCTGATTTTGAATTGGCTGAGGCTGCTTGTCTCCTCCTTTTATCTGCATTAAGGTTTGATTATGCTGTGTCCACTGATTCATCTGCTGTTGCCACTCTTGGTACTGCTTCTGATCAGGATGGTTCTGATGCTGAGCCTGCCACTGGGCATACTGCCGCTGCCATTCCGCGTACTTCTCCTGATACTTCTTCTGGGCTTCGGTGATCTGCTGTTCAACTTTTGATAGAGAATTAGGTGCTGGCTCAGGTGGTAAAGGAGGAGGAGCAGCGGAAGAGGAATCAATCTGCTCCGGCGGTAATGGCGGTGGTCTCTCCTCACTCGCGATCGGCGCGTTTTTTTGTGCTGTCGCCTGATCGTGGCCTTGACTGACTTGAACAGTTGCGGTGAAAACATTTTGACCCGGAGCATTAGCTGCCACAAACTGCTGTGCGCCAGCGACTTGAGTATATCCCTGTACAGGATACTGACCTACTGAAGCAGCTGTTTGAGGAGTCTGATTAGGGACAGCTCCGTATTGTGCATACTGTTGTGGCGCTTGAAAAACTTGCGCTTGAGCAGAAGGTTGTTGAACGTAGTAATACGGTTGTTGTTGAGTGTACTGTACTTGGTACTGGTACTGCTGAGGTTGATGTAATGGTGCTGGTGGATACACGTAGGGATTCATTTTTCAATCGCTTTTCCAGAAAAAAACCCGGAAAGATTTTTAACTTAAGTCATTTTCATTTCCGTCTCATCAATATGGCTGCCATGCGGCAACTTTTCTTCATTCAAATAGGCAACCTGGCCTTCCTGCTCGCATCCAGGCCTATTACAGATTCAAGATGGCGGATATTCGAGAGAGACTCGAAAGACGAAACGAAGAGCGATTGGCAGCGATTGAGAAGCGTAAAGCTGATAAAGAAAGCAAAGAACAACCATCAGAAAATGTAGAGTACATCACTTCTACTTTCTCTAAAGAAAAGAGTGATATCAAGGAGCAGCTAGGCAAAAGGGCTACTTCAATCGAAGCTGGGAATAAACTAAAGGCGGGTGAATTCTTTGATATGCTGTCAGACAAGTGCCAGAAACTTCAAAAATTCGTGGCGGACTCTGCAATGTTTTTGCCTTCTCGTGATATACAAGTCTTACAGGAAACCGTGAAGGCTTTACAGCAGGATATCAATGAGAAGAGGGAGGAATATCTGCCCAAGAAAAAGTTTACTTTCAAGGCGAGAAAAAAAGAAACATTTAATAAGGTTAGAAGGGTGAGTTGGGTGGGGGTCGAAGTGCCTTAATATCATGATAAATCATTATAAAGTTACACAGGTAAGCTCTCAAGGTTCCTTTTACTTAACCTTTTGACCCTAAAGTGTGACCAGTGTCTAATTTCTCCTTACAATATCACCTCTGGAATCACACATTAAGGTCATGGGAATAAAGGGAATGATCACCAACTAAAGAAGCTCTTGGTTGTTGAATCTTTAATCTTTAATACAAATTCTATGTCCATTACACTGAACAAGTCAATTCAATCAATTTGAGGACAGTCTAAAACAGAATACAAGATTCCTTAAAATAAGCCACCTTATTTATATACCTAGTTTAAAAAAATCATTGTCAAAGACTAGTTACAATAGAAAAAAATCTGAACTCACAATATGATAGAAATAAGATAATTCTGAGTAAAAAAAACTTGGCACTGATCATATTGTGACTGCCATCCTTGTTGCTGCTGTTGTGATTGTTGCTGGTTATGCTGTGGCTTTGGATTTTGTTGCTGGTTATGGCTGTTGTTGATGTTGTGGTTTTGTGATATTGTTTACCTTGTGGCCATTGAACTTGCACAGGCTGATGCTGATTGTGAACAAATTGTTGTTGCTGATTGAAGGGAGTTTGCTGAGTATATTGATCATATTGTGACTGCCATCTTTGTTGCTGCTGTTGTGATTGTTGTGGTTGTTGATTTTGATGCTGGTGGCTGTTGTTGATGTTGTGGCCATTGAACTTGCACAGGCTGATGCTGATTGTGAACAAATTGTTGTTCCTGATTGAAGGGAGTTTGCTGAGTATACAACTGCTGACCTACTGAAGCGGCAGTCTGAGGAGTCTGATTAGGGACAGCTCCGTATTGTGCATACTGTTGTGGCGCTTGAAACACTTGCGCTTGAGCAGAAGGTTGTTGAACGTAATAATACGGTTGTTGATTGTACTGTACTTGGTACTGGTACTGCTGAAGTTGCTGTAATGGTGCTGGTGGATATACGTAGGGATTCATTTTTCAATCGCTTTTCCAGAATAAAACCCGGAAATATTTTTAACTTAAGTCACTTTCATTTCCGTCTCATCAATATGGCTGCCATGCGGAAACTTTTCTTCATTCAAATAGGCAACCTGGCCTTCCTGCTCGCATCCAGGCCTATTACAGATTCAAGATGGCGGATGTTAGAGAGAGACTCGAAAGACGAAACGAAGAGCGATTGGCAGCGATTGAGAAGCGTAAAGCTGATAAAGAAAGCAAAGAACAACCATCAGAAAATGTAGAGTACATCACTTCTACTTTCTCTAAAGAAAAGAGTGATATTGAGGAGCAGCTAGGCAAAAGGGCTACTACAATCGAAGCCGGGAATAAACTAAAGGCGGGTGAATTCTTTGATATGCTGTCAGACAAGTGCCAGAAACTTCAAAAATTCGTGGCGGACTCTGCAATGTTTTTGCCTTCTCGTGATATACAAGTCTTACAGGAAACCGTGAAGGCTTTACAGCAGGATATTAATGAGAAGAGGGAGGAATATCTGCCCAAGAAAAAGTTTACTTTCAAGGCGAGAAAAAAGGAAACATTTAATAAGGTTAGTAAAAGGGTGGGTAAAGTTTCCGCACAGCCCCATACTATTGTAAAACAAATCTGTTTTCCCAATGGAAATGTATTGTTTTTTATTGTTCTCTCTAGTCAAGAACTGAATGCATAATGTGGTATGGGGCTGTGCGGAAATTTTACCAAAGGGTGAGTTGGGTGGGGGTCGAAGTGCCTTAATATCATGATAAATCATTATAAAGTTACACAGGTAAGCTCTCAAGGTTCCTTTTACTTAACCTTTTGACCTTAAAGTGTGACCAGTGTCTAATTTCTCCTTACAATATCACCTCTGGAATCACACATAAAGGTCATGAGAATAAAGGAAATGATCACCAACTAAAGAAGCTCTTGGTTGTTGAATCTTTAATCTTTAATAAAAATTCCATGTCAATAACACTGAACAAGTCAATTCAATCAATTTGAGGACAGCCTAAAACAGAATACAAGATTCCTTAAAATAAGCCACCTTATTTATATACCTAGTTTAAAAAATCATTGTCAAAGACTAATTACAAAAGAAAAAAATCCAAACTCACAATATGATAGAAATAAGATAATTCTGATAAAAAATTGGCACTGAACTTATCATAAATTAAAATAATTAAACAATTTCTTGCCAAAGATTGCAAGGTGTTAGACTCCCTCATGTTGTGAGGTAGTTCATTCCATGCGCGACAAACCTGAGTAAAAAATTAATTCTTAAAATTTTCTGTTCAACTGACATCAAGTGTCAAATAATCAACATTTCTCAAAGGCTTGCTACAAGAACAAAACAATACAAAGTAAAAAATTTCTAAATCATGTATATTCTGAAAACATTTAAAAAAGAATACTAAATCATTCCCTTTGGTTATGTAAAAAAAGGTAATAAATTTAATTTACTAAAGCACTATTCTCAGCTCCTTATGAAATGCATAGAGAACAGTAGGCAAAATATGCATCTTGACATTGTAAGGTCTGTGTCATAGTGTCTAGGAGACAAGGTGGCCTGACAGTTATATTTAGCTGTGTTCTGAGGCAAGACAATTTACTCTCACAGGGCTTCTCTCAACCCAGGAGTTTAAATTTACTGGTAAACTCTCAGTGAAACCTGTTTTTTTTGTTTTTGGGGAAGGGGATGGGTTGAACTAACATCCCATCCAGGAAGGGGGGGGGGGGGCTAATGATACTCGTAAAAGCTTCATGCATCAGCAACAGGGAGGGGGGAGGGGGAGAGGGCTTGTAATACTCCTAGTTGCTTCATGCAACAATAACCAGGATAAGCTCCAGCCAGATGAGCCACTCAGTTCCATTGCTGACTTAAACCTTTACTCTGGAATAAGGTCATTCCTTGGAACTGCTAAGTGCTTCTTTGACCCTTCACATCCTTACATCAATATGTATATTCTCCATACTGCTCCTTATACTTTTTTTTATTGTATTGACAAGGAGAATTTGTTTGAAAATCATGAGCTTCTTTAGTTTGCAATCATTTCCCATATTCTCATGACTTTAACATTTGATGCAACAGTGATGCTGTAATGAGAATTAGATCCCAATCACTTTTAGGGGTTAGAGGGTTAATGCACATAATTTTATCCTTATTTTGCATGGTTATGTGAAAAGAGGAAGTTCTCCTTTTTTGCTTCAGCTCACTAGGGAGGTAATTTGTATTCTTCTTCTAAATGAATCAGGTAACTTAGTCTCCCACTTTTTGGTCTGTTTGTTAGGATGGACCTCTCAGTCAAGAGACAAAGAACAAAGAGCTTCCTTTACCAGCAACAGAAAAGAAGCTTTTAGATTCCTGTCTAGGTTTTCAAGGAGTTGCAGATCAAACACTAACCATGAATCAATCACAGGTCAAAAATCAAGACATCACTCTAAGAGATCTTCAAAACTGCACTGTAATTATCTATGGTCCACCATCTGCATTGCATATGAACAAACTGACAAGGTGTACAGTCTTATGTGGACCTGTGTCAGGAGCAGTATTCATTGAAGACTGTGCAAAATGCAATTTTGTCTTTCCTTGTCATCAGCTGCGAGTTCATAGCACAACTGACAGCAAGTTTTATCTTCATGTCACTAGTAGAGCTATTGTTGAGGACTGTTCCAATGTAGGTTTTGCTCCTTTTAACTGGGAGTATGAAAATATGCAGAGTGATTTTAAGTTGGCAGGGCTCGATCCTTTAGAAAATAATTGGTCTCTTGTCAATGATTTTAACTGGCTGAAAACTGATGAGCCTTCTCCCAATTGGTTCATAATAAGGGAGGATCAGCGCGTAAACAAGTGGATCATGTAAACATGTTTGAGAAGCTTTTCATAACATGTGTACCAAATGAAAGTCACAAAATCATTGAAAGAAATGATCTTACATTGTTAGACCAGTTTCTCAAGTTTTACGTTCAGCTAACAATTATTATTATTGTACAATCTAATGTTTGTAGTTTTTGTCATATAAACAGAGTTTTCTTTGAGTTGAAATGTCTGGTAATAAAACTTTTAATAATCAAGGTGTTGCCATGCAGTGTTTATTATGTTGGCTCTGACATGAAGTGTTTGTTGTCTCCTCACCCCATCCCCCAGAGGCATTTGGAGTGGGGTACACTCTTAAGTTAGGACAAGGAGACGATTCATCATTCTTCCTACATCTCAGTCTTTAATACAGGCTTTGAGGAGAGACTTTTTTTTTCCTCCTTCTCTGGGTGTAACTTGCCTTTCATACTCTGTCGTCTGTCCTCTTTGCACTTAACTTCATTTGCATGAAACACAAACTTAAGTGACACATGTTCAACAGGCTATTGAAGAGCGCATTTTGTGCACGCTACATCTCCATTTTAGCAGATCATGCGACCCACCACGGCCACAGAGCGCAAAAGGCGTATGTACCCAGCTTGTTTCCTCATTCCCAGTTCCTTTTCTCCGTGAAGTGTGCATCTAGGCACGGTTACTAAGCATCTCGAGCAACAACATGGGAAAGATTAAGAGAAACCGTCAGAAACTCCATCTACAAGCAGTGAAACCTAGTAATTCAAAGGACAAAGATGATGCTTTGAAGGCGAATGAGGTAGACAAAGTATTTTTATTAACCTTAATGATGATTGAATGTAAGCTTTGAACATAAAAAAAATGCCTGAGATTAATCTTGCATGTACTTGCTAATTGTGGCCTTCCATGCTATTATTTATTTTGTTATGTTCATTAGTCTTCTCTTCCAGCCATATTCCCCACTATGGGACTGTTTGATGCAAATGGTCAAGCCCGACCTGATGAATCTAAAGATAATCAAGACACACACAGTCAACTTGCCGACCAGAAAACTTCATCGAACAAAAAGAACAGAAGAAAAGAACGACATGAGCGTTTTCTGAGAAGTAAGTTTGATGGAGTGTTTGACCAACATTGATGTAAAAAGTATATGTGATCTTCACTGAAGATTTTTCTCTACGGGCACGATTGATATTCATGTCAAACCGAACACTTAATCTCCTAATTAAAACTCAGAACTGGCAAAGCCATGTTGATAATATATTGAAATTGTCAAGTTCATCTAGTACATACTTGTATGACCGTGATCCATCTTCAGTGGTCTTGTCAAGATGTTAGCAAACCTCTTCCTAAGATCCCTTGAACTTCCTATCAAGATTCTACTAAGATCTTGAACAGGTTGATTTTTGCTTGATGTTCGAAAGATCTTAGCAAGACACAAGGAAGATGTATGGCTGATCTTACTGGATCTTGTCTAAGATCTTGCTAAGATTTTATTAAAGGTGGTACCTTGAAACGCTATTGTTAGGTTTTGCTTTAGGTGTTTTTACAGGATTGTTTAACTTCTCAAAAGGATTTTTTCACTACATTGTCTAAGTGAGGAATCAACTTAGGATGTCACAATATAAATATAACAGCAAATTCACTTAAACTAGCTTGCAAGGAAAGGTAAAGCATCAGCATAGGGGAGAATTAAGAGTCAAATACTTGGGGTTACTTTTTTTATTGCATAAAAATGAGTGTTCTGAAGAGAAGTGAATATGATATGATATTTTATTTCAATGCAGAACTACATGCTGGCAGACTTGTTGAAGAAAGCAGCAAAAAAGCAAAGGAGAGGGCAAAGACAGTTGTTGTAGGTGACATGGAACCACTTTTATCAGCTCTACCAACCATAAATATACCAGATCTTATAACAAGCACAAAATCCTCTAATATTGGGTGAGTTGATAAAAAGGATATGCATGATTGTGTCAACTACAATGTGGATTCAATATCATAAAGAGAGTCAGTAACAAGTTGTCTTTTGTCTCATGATGTGGTTACTTAGAATGTGGAGTAACTGTGACATTTCTACCAAATAGTTCTAGACTTCTTCAAATGCCAAGGTAGACTACAAGCATTCCCTTCTTTTCAGAAAAGTTTGTTGTGCATGCAGAAAAAAATTCATGGAAAAAATTGCTGTTTGCATGCCAAGCAGAACTCTAGGAGTGAGACCTACTTTTGTGTGCCTCATATCTAGATTTCCATGTGGCATGCTTATGTCAAAAATATTTTTACTCATTTTTTTTAACTTGCACAATGGACATTGTCAAAAAAGCAGGGAGTTCTCCCAGCCTTGTGCTGAGGTTGATCTCCTAGCCTAAGTCCAGCAGTATGCAGTTGAATTAGATTAATGAAGCTTTTAAGAATGAGTGATTGAATTAGCAATGTGCACATGCTGTAGCTGCTTGAAAGAAATTGATTTAGGTCAGCATTTTAGGTTGTAAAACACTTTTGTGAATGCTTTAGCAAATTTTGGATATTATGCACAGTGATTTGGAAAGGTTCCTTTATTTTTGGCTCATATTTGTATATATTTTCAAATATCCTGACTCTCAATCATCTATTCAGCCTAGTCCAAATAATTGAGGTTTGATTGTATTAATGATTGTAGCTTATCATGATGAATAACTATTCACAGCTTTTTTTTTTAATGTGTTTGTTATTATTTTATTTTCCTGCAGCAATGGAAAAGAGAAGTTTGCCAAAAATAGGAAAAAGATGAGTAAAAAATCCCGCCAAGCTCTACAGTGAGTGTCAGTACTTTGTTTGCATTTCAACAATGACTTACAGGATTCTTCGATTAATCCTATAATTTTTAACATTGGTGCTAAATGTGATATTTTTTTCTCTCTTAACTTGCAGTGCCAGTGAAATTGCCCATTTTCAGGAAGTTGTTAAACATCCAGCCTTCAAAGCCGACCCACTTGCTGCCATTTCTGAACATATTAAAAATGCTATACAGAGAGAACATGAAAATCAGACTGAAGGCTAGAAATTATATTGTCAACTGGGTTTAAAAATCAGCTAAATAAAATTATTATTTTATCATATCAACAGACTGCAGTAATGTATTTTTTAAGATTTAAAAAAGAAGCACAAAATTTTACAAGGAAAATCTTTTTTTTTTCTTGGCTTTACTACTGGCTAGCATGTGCAGACACAGGCATCCCAAGCTCACGTCACAAGATGTAAGCTTGGGACACTTGTGGTGCAGATGAAATTTACACATGTGCAGGGCTGTCACAAATGATGGTTGCTTGACATTACTTGTTGCTTGCTGTTACATTAAACTTTGTCATGTATCACTATGCTACAGGTGATATCTCCAATGTAAAAGCTGCTCCAAACTAGGCAACAGCCCTGCACAGGTGGGTTTGGCAGAAATTGATGATTACTTTTTGTAGTTTACTTCAAGTAAATGGTGGTCATTCTTCTGGTAAAGAATTTTGATTCTATTCCATAGTAAAGAACAGAGGAAGGAAGAAGAGCCCAATGAAGTGAGGGGAAAGCTAAGATGTAGTCAAGTACTAAGCATATTTCAGTGTTTCTTCTTGTCCAGCTGTATCCAGTTCAGCTAACTGTGCTGAAAATTTTTAGCCAAGTACCAATATGTAGATTACTCTACATTTCCAATCTATTTTTGGAACGGCTGATTTTAGATTTCGATCCCCGCCCCAATCTTTTTGCACCCATCATAGCCTGAACACCTGACTCTTGTGGCGAAAACAAAGGGAACATGCGCGAAAAAGATCAGACGTGCGTGACCTCTCGCTCGCGTGTGCTGGAGTGAATCTCCCAGTTAGTTCCGGTCACATTAAGCATGAGGTCTTCACTCCAAAAAGAAAAAAAACATATTCTCAGTAACAATTATTATCATGTAGTTATAGCGGTAATCAGTGTCCAAAGTAGTGGGGGATACGCCAGCTTCTTTCAAGGAGTAACAAAGAGATTCGACGGTCTCACAACTTCTACTTGTTTGCGTGACACTTAAGTAAAGGAAGTACTGGGAACGAATTGTTGGAGAAGCCTAGCATATCTAGTGCAACCAGTGCAACCAACAACCTGAGGGCGGTAAGTGCATGAGAGCAAACTTTGTAGAGCTTCTTTAATTTTTTTTTTTAACATAACTGACTTTACCTTCAATCTTTCCTTGACGACGGATTTATTGATACTGTGCTCTGCGTTGAATAAATGTTTACCCAGTAGTTATTTGACTAAACGAGCTCAGCTTGATAGGAATTGGAATAAATTAGGTTGTTAATTTGTTTTCTGAACGCTTGCATACTCGATGTGAAAGAACTCTTGATAGATCTTACTACAACTACGTTTAATTCGGATATCTTATCTAAAGAACAAAATGCCGATCGTTTGCCAAGCTAAAAGCGCTGACCCAAGTAAGTTCTTTTCCTTGGATACAAGTAATTTTCCGCCTCTTTCCCGTTTCGTAAACTATTTGAAGGATGTACTGCAGTGCTCTCTGCGTACTAATGTAAAATTTTAGAATTTGCTGTCTTATTGACAAAAATACGATAACTTTTTACAGCATCCCAAGGGAGATTTCACTTTTGTTGTATGAATTAACTGAGACGAATACTGCTGCAGAAATAGATGTCACCTCTCCCCTGGATTTAACCATGAGCAGCTAACTTTAGCGTGTAATTGATCGGCGCTTTGTATACTTTTTTCAGCCTTCCAAAGGGTCTTATCTTGCCTAGAACAGATTCGTCGTAAGTTCGATAGCCATCAAGATCAAGTTGCAGACTTCCAGTTTTTGGGCAGCAGGAATGACTTTTGGAAAATTTTCAAGGTTACTATATCAGCATCTGAACCTTTGTGCCTCACAATCTAGTACTAGATCTCAAGTTGTCAAACAGTGGTGTTAGCTCAACATAATGCGGAGAAGATTAAAACAAGTCTGACCTCAAAATTATTTTGTACCTTTCAATTGGACCACTAATTTCATTTCATTTATCCATGATCTGTGTGTTAATAGCACCTTTAGTGAGTAAGAAAGATGATGAATTTGTGGCTTTATCATAGAATTAAAGAATATGTTATTTTAGTCATATAGCACAGAACAAAGAAAATAGTATCACTCTGAGTTTTATTTGGCAATTCAGTACTGAACCACTGCCACTGCAAGTGAACAAGACAATTAACCCTCTAACTTCCAGATGTGATTAACATGTAAATTCTCTCTTTAATATGCATACACTATCCAGCATACAGGTAGTGGGAGTATTTAAACTAATACCAGATAGAAGTTTTAACTTGATCTAACACTAAATTCCCATCACTAACTTACTAGCAAATGTGTAGTGACTAGTAGGGAGAATTAGTAATCAGATCTTGGGAGTTACAGGCATTTAATATACTGTTGTTGAGTGGTGTCAACTGTGACAATATAGTAAATTTTGCTTGGGCTCAGTCATTAAAACAAAGAATTTAAAGATTTCAAGACAAATTGATAACATTCTTTCTTTAATGAGTTCGTTATTGAATGCCTTTCATGAACTTTGTAAACAAGCACCTTATTCATACTGAACTCCACCAAACAAGGTTGTCATTTTTATTTCTTTGTCATAATTTATGTTCAAATATTAACAGTTCCATGACACAGAGAAGGAAAAACTTCATGTTGAAGGCAAGAGGGCAGTTGATCTTGCAGACCAGGTTTGGTTATATTAATGACTAAAAAGTGTTGTCCTTGCTCTCTCCTAATTAATTCTGATGATGAATAGCAATGTTGCCTCAATGAGTAAAAACTCAAGGCCACTTAATCCATTGCGGTACATTATTCAGCCAAAACATGATCAGTTAATGGTGGACAGTTTCAAACCAAAAATTAAATCAGACTTTCTTTACTTGGTATATCTCTCACTGTTTCCCTCATTCACTTGTCAGTTGATATCATTCACATTTCTGTGTGACCTTGCAATATCCTCAATTTTAGACTCATTTTATGTACTTTTTGTCATTTAGCTTTTGGCGGTTCCCATTCCTCCAGCAAGCACCAACAAGGAAATGCAAGAGCTGCAACATATCCTAACAAAACCACACTTTAAGGTAGAGAATTGGAAAAGTCCTCTGTCTCTTCTTTATGTAATTCAGGGCAGAATTTTTAAGATGACTATTCAGTGGGTAACAATTAGTCTGACTTAATTTTTTTCATTAGGTTACCAATTAAGAACCTTGCGAAAATATGAGTGTAAGTTGTTAATAAACATAGGTGTTCTTAACCCATTTCACCTGAACATCAATATGCATATTCTCCATACTGTTCTCTATACATTTCATAAGGTGCTAACAAGGGGAATTTGTTTAACAGTTGAGAGCTTCTTGAGTTAACCTTAATGTGTGATTCATGGGTGATATAGTAAGGAGAGATAAGATGCTTATGGCTTCTTCTGGGTTTGTATAGGACCTGGAAAACTTAGAAAGTCGTGGATTTTACAATTTCATTTTCTTGGCCTAACAATTCACGGAATTCAGGTTTGGCTCCTGGAAAATCATTTAAAGTCATGGGAAATCAAGCAGCTTTCTATGAGTGCAAAGAAATGCAGATCCAAAGTTGAAAAATTAACAGACAAGTAAAAAACAAGATCTAATTTCAGTAAAATTAAACATTAGTGCATGTTGCAAGTCCTATGCATGGGGACATTTTAGTTTATTCTTCCATGAAATCTATGCAAATTTGTGAGATATTTAAAATGAATCAATCAGTACAATTGCTTAACTTAGGTCACGGAATTTTCAAAAAGTTATGAAGAAAGTCATGGAAAGTCATGGAATTTTCACAGCTCAAAAGTGTTTGAACTCTACCATAGGGTCCAAATGAAAAAGCAGAATTTAAGTTCATTTTACCAATTTTGGTTTTGGTTATTGTCTTTTTGGCATATCTTTCAGGGTCTTCTTCAAGCCTATGATTCAATACAAGCAAGTGATTTCTCTCCAGTAATCTTTGAAGATGAAATAGAGAAGGAGCCGTCATTTACTGACCTGGGTTCAGAGCCAGAAAAAGAAGACATTGGTCAAATCATCTCTGTAGAACATCATCAGGAAAATGCTGAAGGCAATGATGATGACACATTCTCTGCTGAAACGAGTGTCACTACAGTTTTTATTGATTATGTTGATTGTGGAGTTGATAGTGATTATTGTGTAGAATCCAAAGATGTTGATGAAGCTGAGGGGGCTGAAGTAAGGAATATTACAGAGAACTTTACAGAAAAGGGCAATGGCAACACAGATCTCTTGTGGTTAGACACAGATGAGACTGATGGTAATGAAACAGAGGTGTCAGAGAACTTTGCAGATAAGGGAGAAGACACAACAGATCTACCTGGGTTGGACAGGCCAACTGTTTCTCAAACTTATGCCACTGACTGCACCCTGGAAGTAGAGGAACAAGGCAATAAAAAAGCAAAAGATACACTAGAATTTGACAACAGAGAGACACAAATCAGGGATGTCCCTATTACAACCGACATTGAAAAAGTCACATCAGTTAAGGATGTTGAAGAGAATGGTTTCAAGGAAAAGGAGTGCACCATTGAAAACTTCAATGTAGATGGGAGTGGGCTTCAACCCAGTAACAGTGCTGTGAAAACTGTCATCTTGTTTAGGAATTCCAAAGAAACCCTTGTAAGTGTTTTTTAAAAAGATTGGTTTAAAACATTGTCAATGTGGATATGAGAGGGCATACAGGAAACCATTATACTAAATTGTACTTTTTTTACACAGTATTTATTATGGGTTTTAATTTTTCTTTAGATTTAAACTTCACAAAACTAATTGTCTTCAACATACTTCCCTTCATTCATATTATTGAAAAACTTGACTTTTATTAAATTATTGATCAGAAGAAGATCTATTTTCAATCCTGTGGATAAGATAGTTCTTTTGGATTGACAATTCTGATTGTGGTGTCAAATAAAATAACAGAATTGATGTTATTATTCAGATTCTGTAAACTATTTAGACTTGCTGGTAGGTAATAGAAATATATTGTGTGATGCTTACTCTTAGATAAATAGTTGTTTTAAAATCATTAATTTTGTTTTTTTAGGGAATCACAGTCAAAGCTGTTTTCAGCAATGAAAACAAAGAGAAAATTATTGTTGCAAGAATTTTAAGTGGAGGTTTAGCAGATAACTTTGGTAAGAAATTTCTCTTTACAGCTATGATAGGGCTTCTCTTTTCTGATAATTGAGGATCTTAGGCCCTGAAAATAACTCCAGGCCATGTTTTTACAGTTGTTTATAGACAGCAAGGGAGGGTTAAAAAAAGCCCTTGCAAAGTGGGGGCTGAGGAAGCTTTAGGTCTGCTGTTTCCTAGCAGTCTCATTCCATGTTTCAGTTAGGGCCAGTATTAATAAAAACCAATCATTGGCAGTTTACTGTGGCTTGGCCAACAGAGTAGCTGTGATTTTGCCAGGAGTGAGTGCTCAGTACTTTTTTGGTGGAAATTATGGCTGCCATCTTTGATTTTTATGGTAGTGAAAGGCTGTACCAAGGGGGTAACCAGGACTCAAAGGAAGGAGAGGGAAGGAAATAGAAATCGTGCCTTTCCCCAACTTCTTCCACCATCCACTCTTACACCAAATCAAACTTGGCCAGTCAGATAAGTGATTGTGACCTTGTAATGCTAAGTCATCCTAATAAGATTTCCCCCTGCAGGCTAATTGTTATTATGTCTTCTTGATAAGATCTTTGAATTCTTTTGTTTTACTTCAAGCTTCCCTGTATGAGAATGACGAAATTTTGGAAATAAATGGTAGACCTGTGGATGGACTGACTGCCAATCAAGTTGCAGAGATCATGGTAATAAGTATTGTTGCTGACTTGCTTTGACTGAGGAATTGTTAGAGAGTGATAGATTGGTCCAGAGTCTTCATTCATCCATAACTTTTTTTTTCTTTGTCATGCCATGGAGGAAGTAAAATAATTTCATGGCTACTATGGCTATTTTCTGTTATGACACACAAAACATAATATGGATTGACTCCTGAATATCTACAATTCCAAAATATATCCTGAAATTTAATTACTTTAATATACTGATTACTGATTAACCTGTAAACCCTTAAGAGTGATTAACATCTAATTTCTCCTTGCAACATCACCCCTGAATCAAACATGAAGGTCATAGGAATAAAGATGATCACCAACTAATTAAAAGAAGCTCTTGATTATTGAACAAATTCTCCTCATAAGAACCTTAGGAAATGTCTAAGGAGTATTATGGAGAATACACATACTGATGTTAGGGAGTGAAGGGATAATGTAACAATGGGATTCTTTTTATTTTAACCTAGGATGGAATAACAGGCAGTATTGAAATAAAGGTTTTACCAACCAACAAAGACAAGAAACTTACCAAAGAAACAAAGGTTAGTTGCCATGGTGACTGTAAACATTCCATGATATTTTATTTGGTGGCGATTTCCTTTTTTTTTTTCTCTAAGACGATCATAGTTCAGTCTGTGTTACTGTCTAGTTTTGTAAGCAGCCAGTTCCAGTCCAGCAGTCCTTATTCCTTTCCCATTTTTTCAGTTAGGCTACCACATAGCTTCCACTGGTATTTTTGGGCCATTGAGAAAAATGAGAAATAAATTAGGCATGTTAATTTAATTTATTTTGTAATCTTGAGTTTTTTATGCCATAGGTCAGTTTAAGAGCATTTTTTGATTATAACCCACTACAAGACCCACTGATACCCTGTAAAGAGGTGGGTGTTGCCTTCAGGGCAGGTGATGTGCTTCATGTGGTGAACATGGATGATGCCAACTGGTGGCAGGTGAGCTAAATCAGACAGTTCACTAGCAAAAATGTGTTTGTGGACAGTTTTCACAGCTGTTAGCTTGAGCAAGTTAGCTTTCATTTGTTGGAAAGATAGGGGGACTCCCTTATCCCTCTCGCTTTCACCACTTACCTACAGCCCTTAACCCCCAGCCATTGTTCCCTCTCCCCCATATCAGACTGCTTACCCTTTACCATAATCAACCCTCACCTCACACCTTACATGACCTCTCACCTCACTTCACATAACCTTTCACCCCTTCACCCCTAGCTTTTCATCCATCAATCCTTTCAATCTTTACCTCCTGGTCATCTTAACCTTTGCCCTACACCCATCTTCCCCCTAACCTCTCTACCCTTCATCCTTTACACCCTAAAATCATTATCTACATTCTCCATACTCTTCTCCATACCTTTGGTACTGAAAAGGAGAATTTGTTTTATAATCAAAACTTCTAAGGTTGGCAATCATTTGTCTTTATTCTCATGACTGTAATGAATGACTCAGCAGTTTTACTGTGAGGAGAAATTAGATTCTGGTCAGTCTTTGGGTTTAAAGAGTTAACCCTTAAATCTCAACCAAAGCCCTTTGCTGCTCACCTCTCTTTCTACCATTCCTGACTACAACATTTCCTACTTTGAGCTGCCATCTGACCCTCCTCTTAACAGGTATTTGTACAGGTTTTTCCATGAAATTTGAGGACCAATTTCTCTGAGTGAGGTACTCATGAGCTAAAACTTTGCCCAGCTGTTAGTGCCAGGGCCTTGTGTTGCAATAATTGAAGAACATGTACTGTGACTTTCTCTCTGATACAGGCCAGAAAGGATGGCTGCAATCATGACAAAGCAGGTCTCATTCCAAGTAAAGATTTTCAGGAAAGGTAATTCATAGTTTGCTCTCTTTTTTACCATTGTGTGTATTGCAAGTTGTGATGAACAGAACTCCCAAACCTGTCTGTCATTTAAAGCAAATTAGAGACAACTCATCTTATTTAACAATGTTGTGCATGTATGGCCACAAACATGTTATAGATGACAGATACTGGACAGTCTTTCAAATATTTCTTTCAAGAGCTGGGTAACTTTTTCTGTTCTGACAGGAGAATGCCATTCAATATGTCTTATTTCCTGGTAGTTGATATGCACTTGGACTGGTGATTGCCATTATCCTAATGATAACCACAATTTCATTAAATTTATCACAGTTTTTACGTATTAAGTAGATTGAGCACATTTATTGTAATTAATTGTTGAAGAACAATTAAAGTAAACACGCCAGCCAATCACAACATAAGATTTAATCAATCAAGAAGCCAAGAGAATTCAAAGTAAGAACAAGCAAAATGTCAGGTGCGGGAAAATACAAATGACCAAATTGAAATTGGCTTCAGGTGTTAATCTGATTGGTTGAGAAAGTAACACAAATTTTTTTAAATCAATCATAGGCTAAAGGAAATCCAAAACAATTCCAGATTAAACTTTCAACAGTCATTTGAAAATTGCCTTATTGCGTATGTGGCTTTATTGTGATTTATGTGGCTATGTGATTCTTTATTGAGCACATTGTCATTAATGCTTAATTTGCCTTATTTTTTTACTAAAATAGTGCTGATTTCTCTCGATATGTTAGAAGACAGCAGTTGAACAGAATTTCTTCCACAAATGATGTCACAACTCAGAAAGACAAAAATGGTAAATAATGAAATGTGAGATTAACACCAGGAGCGATACAAAATGCCAAAGTTAAAGGTGTTTTAGTAGGTCATGAAAATTATTAAACATATCAAGAATTAATTAATCGAATGATATAATATTACATGTATTTGACACCATTTTTAAGGGAACTCACAAAAAAGTGTGGCTGTAGCAATGCATTTGAGAATTGGTGTTTGAAGATAAGGAAACAATTTTGAGCCACCTTATATAAGATAGAAATGAAATTTCAAATAAGTGCTCAGGCCCTTATCGGAGGAAATACGTTGTTAAACAATTAAGAATATTTTTTTGATTTGCAATTATTTGTGACATTAATGTCTGATTCAGCAGTAATACAGTTATGAGAAATTAGATGCCAGTCACTCTTGAGTGGTAATCTGTTATGAATCCTAAGCAATATGTTCTCCACAGGAAAACTCACTTCACCATTCAAGAAAATGAGGAAAAAATCAGACTCCAATAAAGTGCTTTGCGATTTCTTGAAAGGTTGGTGTCTCTTTGTAAACAGATAATAATGTATGTTCTATCTATTTATAGTAACTCACACATTATTAGCAATTATGTAACATGCAAATCAAAATAATGATGGATATCCCAGAATTTCTCTTAATGTCAGCAGTTTAGTTTAAAGCTCTTAACTTACTTTAAATTGTTTGCAGATGTCTACTCTTTATTGACCCACAAGCAACAAATCTGTTACTTTTCAATCATGTTCCACTGCGAGTTGTTTATTTACATTAATTTGTAAATTTTTTAATCACTATTTTTTCATAACATTTATTTCATGTTCTGATGTTTTAAAGACTTTCTATAATGTTATAAATCATTGAAGAGATGATTTGATCTATTTCAACTGCAGATATACCAATTCTTGGTTGGCCAGCTTATGAGCCAGTTGCAAAATATTTACAAAGACCGGAGAAAAAGCGTCTGCTTTTACTAATCGGTGGGTAGATATAGTGACCAATTTTCCTCAAGGGAACAATAGTTTTTTCTTAATTAAAGGATGTCCTAAAAAAATTTCTGCCCTAGACCAGAGGAAAGGTTTTCTGTTAAGGATTATAATTGGGGAAAAAAGGTGAAAAGTGCATTAGAACTTGGTGATCTAGTGTCCAAATTGTACATTGCAAGCCAGATAATTTCAAGTTTATCTTGATCTTTAAAATTTTGTGAAGTGAGATACTGTTAGACATGCAAATGGTCACTTTACCTGAGGGAATTTTACAGACAGAATTTAATAATAAACTTCAAAATTATTTTCAGGAGCACCAGGTGTGGGAAGGAATGAGTTAAAGAAGATGCTACTGTCAAGTAGTCCTGATAAATTCATAACAACAGTTCCTCGTAAGATTACAAATTAAAATTGAATTCACTTATATTTATTTAGTAATTATATGTTTAATATGGCCCCAGTTGTTCAAAAGTTGGATAGCACTATCCACTGGATAAATCGCTATCCAGTGGATAGCACAGTATGTTTTGTCATCACTTACCTGCTGTATAGCAATTTATTTGTTGGGTAGTACTAACCTTTCACTCCCATGAGTGACCGAGAGAGAACTTCTCCTTACAGTGTCAATGCAATATCAAGCAGACAAGTGATGAGAATAAAGAAAAATAGCAATTAGGGGATTTTTAGTGGATCCAATACCAAATTCTCCAAACTAACATCATAAAAATTGTATGGCAGGTAATAAGGAGAATTACTGATGAGATCTTGAGAGTGAAAGGGTAATAACCACCCTTTGTACAACTGGGCCTATTTAGCAAAATTTGTTTTTACCAGGCTTAGAGTAACCTTTAGGGAACTTCGCTATCCATGTTGACAAATACATTTTTACAAAAGTTTAATGCTCCAAAAAAAAAACAGTATATGCTTCAATCAGGACCAACACTTATAGGAAAAAGGAAAGGGAAACCTTAAGAATCAAACCATACAGTCAGGGAAATTGTAGTGTATGATTGTTTGCTTTTTTCATTGCGATTGTTATTTATCTTGGTAGTTTATCAGTAAGCCACCTCTTCATGTATTAACCCTTTACACCCTAACATCAGTAAAGGTATTCTCCATACTGTTCTCTATACATTCCCCAAAGGTGCTGATGAGGAGAATTTGTGTAACAATCAACAACCTCTTTGGCAGCTGATGATTTTCTTTATTCTCATGACCTTACTGCATGATTCAGGGGTGACATTGTAAGAAGAAATTAGATGCTGGACATTTTTAGGGGTTAAAAGGTTAACACCATTTTTCCTGGCTCATTCTCAAACACATTGAGTATAGCCCATTTGACTAGCTTCTATTTTATGAAGTATTTTGACACTAGTTTAATAATTACTGCACAAGAAAAGGACTTTTTTAAAATTTTTTATTTAGTGGCATAATTTTATTTTTTATGTCTTCCTACCACCAAGCACCAAGGTGCTGATCAGTCTGGTACTTTCTATTGAATGAATAACAATTGATGCTTTACACAAAATTTATTTTCTAGATACGTCCAGACATATGAAGAGTTATGAAGCAGATGGCAAGGATTATTTTTTTGTATCAAGACAAACTATGGAGAATTTTATCCAGAAGAGGAAATTCATAGAATTTGGAGAATATAAAGGTTGTCTGTATGGTACCTCAAAGGATTCTATAACCAGGGCTCTGAAATCCAGGAAGACCTGTGTCCTTAAGGTTCAACCTGAGGTGAGTCGTGATTAAAGTTGCTCTCAACCTTGAGCAGCACCTTTGCTTTCAACAGATTGGTTTAAATCCTCAACTTGAAGGTGGGTCTGGGTCCTGTTTGTTGGAATTTTTGTTATAGATTGACAGTACAATTATTTAATGCAATACAAAGTAAAATTAACATCGCAAGTTGAAGTTACTGGTCAGGAGTATGGCCTCAAATTAAATCACCAAATCTGGCTTGTAGGTGATGTTGCTATTACGAACAACAGAGTTCAAGCCATACTGTGTCTTTGTGAAGCCTCCTTCTCTGAAGGAACTCCGCACATCAAGACTGACAGTACAGACGAAAAAAAAGAAGGCTTCAGATAAGTCCTCCATCAGGACATTCAGCGTAAGTCTTATTGACAAACAGGCAGACTGGAAATAGTCCCTCTTTCTTAACGTAATGTGAAGTATAGTAAAGCAAGGGAAAGTCTGTACTGGAGCCAACAGTCCAACCAACCTTGGCTTATCTCTGTTTCTATAGCATGACAAGACTGGAAATATTCCCAATCCCATTGGATGGGATGTTACCCCCTATAGTTGCATATTACCCCTTGTTATTGTATGGACCAGTCCAGTAGTGGATGTCGCATCCATTTGTAACTCCACCTAAAGTAACTGTAGAATTGGACTGGCTTCCCATCATGGGGGAACTAACAATTTCCACTTCACACTACTTAAACTGGGATAACCCCCAGTCAGGCTTGAAAATTGACATTAGCTTAAGTTCATAGGTAATTGTTTTAAGTGTGGTGGCCCCCCTCCCCTATCTCACATTCTGGCACTAAATATTATGATTTGTAATTAGTCCAAAACTATGCTTGTCATATGAACATAGCAATAGCCACCTAGCTCACTGTAGAGTCAGTAAAGGTAAAGAATCCAATCCTACTGACACGTTGGCTAACGTGTCGGCCGACACACTACCAAGAGTCTCTGTGGCTCGGTAATAGAACATTTGAGTGCAGAATGCAAAGGTCTGTGGGTCATTTCTTCATGGGGACTTGGAATTTTTTTCTTTTTGACATTTAAGGAAAATAAATCCTTCTACCTTTATCATATTCAGTAAAATTGAAAAATATCAGAATGGAAAAATTAAACCAATCAGGTTCCAAATTAAGATCATGATGTAAATCTAAACCTGTGAATTGTCCTTCGTAAATAAGTGATTCGAGCTTGAATAACCTTTTCATTGATACGCAGGAGGAGGAATTACAAGAAATGATCAGTACTTCTAGAATGCTGGAGGAGACCTATGGAAGATTCTTTGACCTGACAATAGAAAACAAGGACATTGAAGAAGCTTATGTCAGCATTGTAGACACATTTGAAAATCTTGAACAGGAAGAGCAGTGGGTCCCTCTGGACTGGACCCAACAAAGCTAAAAGAAGATCTGATATCTTATGTATAAAGTGTGAGGCTGGTTGTATCATCTAGGTTTTGGATATGATTTAATTGTTCATATATTCATATGCTGCCCGTTTTAGGAAAGATTTCATTTAGTTTTTTGCTTATTCATTAGTACTACAGTACTAACAGTGTTCATCAGTACTACAGTACTAACAGTGTTCATCAGTACTACAGTACTAACAGTGTTCATCAGTACTACAGTACTAACAGTGTTCATCAGTACTACAGTACTAACAGTGTTCATCAGTACTACAGTACTAACAGTGTTCATCAGTACTACAGTACTAACAGTGTAGGTAGGAAGCATGCTTTCCTTTAGTATTCTGTTTATTCATCAGTACTACCGTACTTAAAGTGTGTATGCAGCACTGTACAGTATTTATGTCTTAGTCCAGAAGCCAGATAGCAACTACTGCAGTCATACTTAGATTTTCTCAAATGGGATGACTAGCGTCTCAGCCATAACGGTGATAACTGTCTCACTAGCGTTCCAACGTACTAGCGTACGAACTCCACATCTTCAACAACCATGAATGACCTGCGTCCTTATGTACTAGCGTTCGATCAGAGGACTGCATGTCTCTAGCGTACCAACGTACTAGCCCACTAACTACACTTCTCCAACAACCATGAATGACCCAAAATAGGAATCTTTTTTCTAGTTTTTCTGCTTAATACGGATGATTAAGGTACTTTTAAAATTAAGCTGATTTGACCAGACTTGTTTATTTATTTTGCTTTTTTATTCTTGTGCTGTTCTTGTCCATTATAAGCCTGAAAACTTAATATTTCTTTTATCTGTTTTTATTATATAGATACTGATGAAATACCAGGATTATTCCTTTTACTAAAAAATCATATCTTCATCGCGCGCAGTTAAGATACTATTTTTATCTTTCACGTGTGAGGATATTGGTGTCGCCATGGTTACTAACATGATTAGCCAATTACAAGAGAGCTTCCCGCTCAGGCGCGCGGCTGGTTCTTTTGAAATTTCATTCACAAAAAGTTGTCTTTTATGTAGGAATTTCATCACTATGTATAAAATAAATAGAACATTACATGGCCGCCTGGGGATACGAATTTTATCTTCTCGTGCTGAGAGTGAGCGAAGCGAACGAGTGAGAGATACTTTCAGCACGAGAAGATAAAATTCGTATCACCGCGCGGCCATGTAATATCCTCTATATCTACATCTGTGCTAAGGAATTATTAATTAGTTAATTAATTAAATGATCGGTTAAGAAGAAGATAATTTGATAAGATAAGATGAGTTTTCCGTACCGAGCACTACGGTACTAACGCACTAAACAAATGAAGAACAAGCTGCAATGAGTCGTCTGTACCGAGTACTACGGTATTAACGTACTAGCGTACCAAACAAATGAAGAACAAGCTTTGACCACTAAAACCAGTTGAGCCTATTCAGCTAGTTTGTACGTTTTGTCTATTTAAACCATTTTAGCTGTTTTACCATTTTAACCATGCAGTTGAACCAATTCAGCTAGTTTTTGCGTGTTATCCAGTTGAATCATTTCATCTCGTTTGACGATTTTATACAGTTCAACGAATTATGCTTGTTTCTGCATTTTGTTGGCATAAACGATTTTAGCTAATTTGACCATTTTAACCACTTGAGCCAATTCAGCTAGTTTGTGGGTTTTGTCGGTTTGATATATTTCAGCTAGTATGACCTTAATTGTTAAACACGAACTATTTCAGTTCGTTTGACCAATAAGCTAATTTATGCGTTTTGTCGGTTTGAGAATGTTCAGGCAGCCATTAGGTATCGACCGTTTCTCAAGAAAAGCGTCATCAAAGATAAGAAAACGATGGCGATGATGAGAGGACAACAATTAAAAAACACGTGTCCTCTTTAAAGGAAACTCAGGAAAAGATAATGGGTGAACTTTGAGTGTCCAGCGTGTTCTTAATGAGCTCTGCGTCAATCAGTGGCTTATGTTTGTAAAATAGCAAGTCTTGCCGTCTAAAACGCTTTCAGAAAGGGAACTAACATTGGCTTGTTGTTCATTTGTTACGGCGCCAGTGCATTAATACTCGCGTGGTCGGTATAAACACCCACCACAGATTGCTCATCTGGTTAGTGCGCTAGTACATTAGTACTGTAGTACTCGGTACAAACACTCACCACGGCATGTTCATTTGTGTAGTACGTTAGTACCACAGAACTCGATACGGACAACCCATCACGGCTTTTTCTTCATTTGTTTAGTGCGCTAGTACGTTAGTACTGCAGTACTCGGTACGGACAACTCATCACGGCTTGTTCTTCATTCGTTTGGTGCGCTAGTACGTTTGCACTGTAGTACTCGGTACGGACAACTTATCACGGCTTGTTCTTCATTTGTTTAGTGTGCTAGTACGTTAGTGCTGTAGTGCTCGGTACGGACGACTCATCACGGCTTGTTCTTCATTTGTTTGGTGCGCTAGTACGTTATTACATGTCTTGCACAACACAGTCCAGTCAGTCAGAGTTTGAACTGGGACCTTTAGATCTGGAGTCCAGCACTCATAAAAATTAAGCCGCTACATTTCCTACATCTTAAAGTTTTCTAAAGAGGGCGTCGTAGTTACTGTAATCTTTAACTAGTTCCTACATCCTACGGAAACAATTGCTTAACATGACAATTATGTTAGTTACTTGACTGGACAAGTAGAATATACAGCTCTATACCAAGGCTGTCTAAACCCAAACCACACCCAAAAATTTCCCGAGTGCAAAAATGGCGACCTATTTCATTTGTTTTACCATTGTAAAGAAAAAAGATGCTGGCTGAATAAGCCAGCTTTCCCAAGCTCTTTAAAAGATGTGGCTTTAACGTTGTGTTTCGAAGTTTTACACTCGCACCAAGCATTTACGGCACACGGCAGAGGTGAGTCCATTTGCCATTTCTAAGTGATTGTAAGCAGTTTCGTGTTAACCAAAAACACGATCATTCACGTATTCTTCTTATTTATTTTTAGGACATGTAGTAGGGAATCTAGTGTTTGTTGTGAACGCAAGTCTAGATCTCTGCAATATGTTCATATTTTTTCCCAAACATGCATGTACATTATATAAAATGCTGCTGTGCGCATTTTTTACGAATATCTGCAATAAAGTTATCATCAACAAACATTCACCCACATACGAAAAATTATCTTACCTGAATGAAGACAAGCTAGTAAAAGAGAGTTTAAAAATTTACACTAAAGTAACTCTTTCGTATCCAGAGACAGTGACGACCTTGCAGAGAATGGGGAATTTGGCCTGGCTGGAATCCAAATCACTGAACCAAGTACTAACTTCCTTAACGGTTTAATTACAGCGGAGCTCGCACCGCGCGCAGCGTAGCCCCATAATTATACAAAATAGTAGTAACCCATCAAGCCGAAAAAAATTTGGACTCACGACCGTTCAGGCGTCCGTACAAGGTGCTACTTTTTAGCATGTGCCGCCAACTGTACCGCAGGCACTATTGTGACGATAGGTTTTCGCACACTCTAACTGGACTTCGCGGGGACGTACAAAACGGGGGGAAATAACTCGGTAGAGACCACTCGGCTTGCGAGAACGGAAACTCGTCACGATTTCCTGGTACACGGCCATCTACTTCGAGTGAGCTTGTACGGACGTCAGGGGTGAGACAGCGTTTTGGTTCCACAGTAGGCTTTTATTCTAGGTCAGGTCAACAAGCGACATGACCTCTAGCGTACTCAAGTTTGTAATCATCAAAGCTGTACAAGGTACTTGCTTAAGAACTAACTGGTGTGAGGTGCTATTGTTACACAAATCGCAATATTTGAATAAGGACACAAAGGAGCGGAAAAAGTCTCTTTGAAGTTAAACGAAAACTACTTAGATATTTCATCTGTCTCTACGAGGAAAATAATCTCAAAATTAAAAAGACGGATGCAATAAACTCGAGGCCATTAAAGTAGGAAACTTAGGTGCGAATTCACAGCTCTGGTATAGAAAATAATACCTATCTTAATTGCAGTAGCGCAGCTTAGTAAAAATAAAAACGGAAAAGCAATTAAAAGTTTCTGCTTATCTATGCAAGGTTGGTGTGGAAACTATCGTATGAAAAGAAATTAAAGTTACGAGTATAAACTCAGCTGCTAACTACCATGAAAACCAATTTTTCCAGAAAGGCCATTAACACTTATATTTACCTAAAAAAACCAGTAATAAATAACAAGAGTGCCGACAAGCAGGTGCATATGATGAAGGCGAGTAACAAACAAGAATCTATTCCAAAAGCTACTGTGGTTTTTATACATTTTTTGATTTACTAGGATGAAAGAACTTGTATTAACTCGAACAAATTGAATATAGTTAAATGTGAAAGTTTACGAATAAATATGTTCCGAATAACAACACACGGAAAAGTCAGTAAATTTTCCCGTAACACTATCTTAGCCATTACGTAATGGTAGGGCGAGGGAGAAGGTAATGCGCAGGCGCAATTGCGTGCATAACTTGGATACCCCATTAATGTGCGCCAGGAGACACCGGCAGACGACAATGAAGCGCGCATAGTCGAGTGCCGACCTTTAGTGCTGCGTACCGCGGGCACGCGGTTAGGAATTACACGAGGGTTTCAAGTGGGCTGGTAGATGTGAAGCCGTGTAAGCAAATAATTTGCAACCCGCGTTTTGAGCGGGAAATCAAACTGTTGAGGTTGTAGTTGAACGGTAATTCTTAGTATTTTGCAGTTTCTAATCAACTCGCAAAGCAACAATACCGGCAAAGCTAAAACTTTTCAACCTGAGGAAATTGACATCATTCAAGTTCGTGGAGAGGGGATTTTGAGTGAAAATAGGCTGGAAAGAAAGAGGCAGAGCGACCAGAGAAAGCAAGAGGTAAAAGGTGTAAAGCGAGTCGAGGAAAACGCGGAAGAAAGTTAGAAAGGACGCTAAAATAGGCAGAATACAACGAGAAGAAAGCGAAAGAGAACAAGAAAAGGCATTAGTAAAAAGGCGAATATCCAGTTAATAAGCTGTTTGCAAGTAA